GCTATCCAGCTTTTGTACCGAAAAGAAATAGGCATTAAAAGTGAGTGTTTTTAGTGCTCATAACAGAAAATTACTCTTATAGTATGTAAAATATTTCTACCTTAGAGCTGCACTTAATATTGTTTAAGATTAAAATATTAAATGCAAAAGGTTTAGGGTGTTTTTTCATGTGACTTATTAAGTTACAAGGTACCCCAAAGGATGCGATTTCAAGATTGTTGAGTTTTAATCTGTTCTTAACTCCTATTCTTTGTGGTTAATCCTGTAGGTTTAAATATAGCGATGGGCAATTGCTAGATTCGTTTTACAGAAACTTCAATACTTTTGAAATTTTAAAAGATTTACAGGTTCAACGGTTTGAAATTGTTTTTTGTAGAAGTTTACTATTATCAAACATGCAAATTTGTTAACCTAGGTGAAAACATAAGGCAAAATCGAACTAAAAACTATCGTTTTAAAAACCCAAAAACTATTGTTTTAGACTTATGCTTTCTTCAAGGGTAACAAATTTGCATGTTTGGTAAACTTCTACAGAATAAAGTTAAATGTTGGAACCTTCTCATATTGTCGTAATACCTTTTAAAAGTCTAAAACATTAAAAGTTCCTGTAAAATGAATCTGGATATTGCCCATCCCTATTAAAATTTAAAAAATAAATAATTTATATGTAAACTACTAAACATGAGGGTTAAAAGTAAAGTTTGCAAAGTTGTATAAAGATATAAGATCTAATGTTTCAGAATAAAGAAAGCCTGTCAACTTTGTTATGCCTTTTTGTAATTATTTTTTTTGTAAAAAAATTAATATTGAATATATTTAATTCAATTTTACAGGGATTTTTGTCTATAAAAGCTTTTAATACTTTTTTGGGTTTTATCACCAAAAAATCTTTTTTTAATTTGAATTTTATTAAGTGTTTTTAAAATTTGGTTTATCATCTGTTCATTAAAAAAAACTAAAAATTTTTCAAATACTAATTACTAAATGATTAAATGATTAAAGAAAATCGTGTTTAATAGTTTTCAAAGAATTTAAAATCCGAGTTTTTATGACACTCATATCTTCGAAGAAGCTTGACAACAGCCTTAATGGCTTTGCTCTATATATACATACATTTATATATTTAAATGTTAGGTATAGCTGGCGAAACGGCTGAACCAGATGAGCTGTTTTTATTTGGGAAACTCATGGGTATCTGTGGAATAACATCGGCTAAAAAAATTAGAAATATTGATTTTTAAAATTTGATTTTTTTTAATTTAAAATTTTGTTCACTGGCAACGCCAGGTACTTCAGCTAGCTGAAATAAAAACTAAAAATTACTTCTGGGATTAAGATGAGAAATATTAGAAATCAAGCAGACGCCAGGTTTGCCATCTGAAAATTTTAAACAAAAACAATATTTAGAGTTAAAATGTTCCAAGCCGACATTTTGTTTCAACTTTTGAGTTGAACCTTGAAAGGATTTAAAAAATTTTAAAATCCACAAGCACACGTTAAAAAAACAAGAAAAAGAACAAAAGACAATTTTGATTAATATATTAGACATTTTTAAAATCATAATTTTAAACTTTGCAGTTAAAATGTTAAGTGATTCTGAAATCAATATATTTATATTGAAACTAGGCTTTTAGGGCGCTTCATGCTTTTCACCAATCTTATGTACATTTCAGGCTTTTTAAAAGTTAATAGTTTTATACAGTGGTAGGCGATTATATCAATACGATAGATACGACTTTGGATTTTCATTTGGAATTATAATGAGCTGTTAAAGAGCATAGATAGATTCACGTAAAGATAGAAGCCAAGAGGAGATGTCAATTAAAAAAATCTTCTCTTTGATTACTTGTAAACTTGTAATTCAACAAAATCAAGTTAGCAGTCAAAACTTAAATAAAAAAGATGTCTTCATTGTATTGATATAATCACTTACCACTGTAGTTGATTGAAACCCAACTTAATAAGTGAAATAGACCAGGGTTGCACTGCTGTGTTTTATGTGCATTAGAATATTTGAATTTATATCAATCTTGTTCCTTTTCCAAAGTGTTATGGGTCTTACTGAATATTTAAAGTTAAAGTTAAAGTTTACAATTCAGTGAATTGTCAGAGTTGGCTTTAGTTGATGACTGAAATCATCAACTGCAGGCCCCATTTGCATAAAGGACGTGTATAATTCATAAACCTTTCCTGCGGTCACGTGATGTCCCACAAAAAATTTAGGCCCAATCGGTTCAGCCGTTTTTACGTTTATTGGATACAAACAGACAGACAAACAGACAAGCCAAATTTATATATAGAATACCAAAATCAAGATTGCAGATTTTCAAATATTTTAAGTATTTCCATAAACGTTCTCTGAGGTCATTTGAGGTCCCACACAAAATTTGGGCCCTATCGCAAATTGTTTATATGTATAAATAATATTAAAATATTTTAAAATGTAATTAAGATTAATATTGATTTCATAAAGATGCATAATAGTTATTTTTTATTCATAATTCTATATTATAATAGCTTAAGGCCTGAATTTCGAATTTGTGTGTCATACTCGGGTACCCGGGGATATCCTCAACAATTCAGCACATTTGGTTCAACTCTTGAACTCTTCAACAAATGGTACAAATGTATTTCCGGAGTCCAAGATCAGATTGAGATTAGACTAGGTTTCCTACACTTGTTATCTTGGAAAAGCCAATATACAATCAACTGTTTCCCGAGCCAGTGTTCGTATAAAATTGTTTACCAACTTGTTTCTTATCTTTATTGCCGTCTTATCAAAGTAACAAATTCTGTAAATATAGTTCAGATCATGTTAGCTAGATGTCAGTACAATTCAGTTTGTGTTATTTTAGTTTAAACACAAATATACAATGTTTAAGTCACTTATTAAAACTTCCTATCAAATTTGTGATTCATTTTCAACTAAGGACAAAGCTAGTGGTTAAAGATCTAACAAAAAGTTTGAACTCATTTTGTTTGGATTAAAATTAAAATAGACATCCTTCATGTTCTCTTTGAATTTAATTAATAGGGATTTACACTCTATTCCTCAAGTATGCTTTTATTTTTGTCACAGATGACAGCTTTATGATATATTACCTGAAGTGCCCAGTGTGGGCAATGCCGTGAAAATTTTAAAGGTCGAATTTTGAAGGAAAAAAAAATTATTTAGGCCTTTGTTACCGTAGGGGCACTCTCAATGATTTCCTCAAAAAATGTCAGCCCATTCAGTATTTCGTTAGGGTATTAAGCATTTATCCTGGAATTCAAAAATGACCACATTGGTTTGTAGAGCTATAGCTCTAGTTTCTATCTGATCGAATTTTATAGTTTTCTCTTTTTAGAGACAAGAGATGTATCTGAGACAAAGAGACAATCTAAGAAGAGAGAATGATCTTTAATATTTTCTCCCTATTATCAATATGAAATTTTAGTATATTTAGAGGGGAAGTCTTTTCTCGAGTACATTTTAATCTGCAACAAAATAAAATCAAAATATTCCCCTCCATCATAATCTTATTTAACAGCAAAGTCATTTTTATCCAACTCAGTCAGCCCTAGGAGGAAGACGACTTTCTCTTCTTAACTAATATTCCCCCATAGTGTTAATATGATGATATTCCCCTCGTTAAAATTCGTATAAAAGGAGCGCTTTTGACAGTATATGTTCAGTTCAGTCCAGGGCTTGATCACATTTAGTTATCCTTGATAGATAAGAAAGAATTCAAATGATAGGTAAGAAAATCAATTAATATTCTAACACATATACTTCTCAAAAGCTCTCTTTACAAACCTTGAAAACTCTTTAAACAATTTAATCAATAATCATTGTCTAATAAAATATAAATATCTTAAATAACTTGTAATTTGTCAGTAATAGTTCTGTTTAGTAAATAAAATATTTAAATTCCGACAAATCTGAAGTCCTTGAAGACGTACAAGAAGTAGCCGGATTCGTTATTAGCACAGTTTCACTGATTGGAGCTACAGGTTTAATTTCAGGGCTATTTGTATTGATCTCTCCCTTCGTCGCCGTTAAATTCGTTAGTAAGCAGATAATTAGAGTCCTTCTCAAGATCACTTCATCCAATAATCGAAGAACCTAAATAGCGTAGATCTATTTTAATTTGTAGTGGAACTGTTAAGAAAAGAGTAGTTCACTACAGGTTATTGAGATTAGTGACCTAAGTTAATAAATTAAAAAATAAACTTACGTCTGTATGCAAAGGAATTGAATTCTGCTCACAGACTATTCTGTATCTTAGCAACCTGATGGTGTTGACTATCAGATGTCTCGAGAAATTAAAATAATACCTATATCAAAATTAGTCCAAAATTTATTTATGTAAGATTTGGTATAAGTATTGAACAGATCATATTCAGCAAATACATAACCAATCTAAATACGACAATATCCCAGAGGAGGCTGAATAACTCAGGTTTGCTCTTATTACAATTTGAATTTAATAATTTTTCATTTTTAATAGATATAATTGATAATTTAACATCCGTATCCTGTGACCAGAACTCCCGCCAATGGCAGTGCAGTATCATTGTCATGTGTTTCCGTTTGTTAAAATTTCAAATTAACCCCCTGTAATTTTTAATTTACAGTACCTTTAAAATATCAAATATACCCCCTGTAATTTTTCATTTACAGTACCTTTGAAATATCAAATATTCCCCCTGTAATTTTTCATTTACAGTACCTTTAAAATATCAAATATACCCCCTGTAATTTTTCATTTACAGTATCTTTAAAATATCAAATAATTACAGCATCAGGCATCAGGATATAGAGATTAGAAAAATACAGAAATAATTAAATTTTAAAATTCAACCAAAAAGTTTTAAATGTTTTCATAAAAAAGGTATGAAAAGATGGTTAAAAGTTAAACTGCTGTTAAAATCTTTTGGATAACTTTCAGACCCCAATACATTGAATGCTAATTATTATCCTCACGTCGGCTGCTTCTTTTTCAGTAGTGGCAACGCAGTCATTCTTGACTCTCAAGCCGCTAAATAATGCTCTTGTTATGCCGACTAAGCTTCAAGAAGTGTCGGAAATTGTAGCTCAGCTAGATGAAGGGCAGCTAGTGGCTGAAGAACTTAAGGGTATAGCACTTATGACCCCAGCAGCTGAGCTTAAGAATCTGGAGGCTGCTCTCGATGTAAGTGGCACTTGTGTCACTCCAGCTAGGTTAGTTGAATTTGTTGATATCAATCATATAAAAGATACCCTAAATCTAAATTAACTAATCCTTTTTCATTACCCATCCTAGACTATCATTTCTTAGGAATGCTGACTTGAAAAGGAAACGGGCCAAGGTTATCTCCAAGAAAAAGCCTACTGTTGTCAGTTTAGAGTGCAGACCCTCTTTAGGACAGGTAGCTTTTTTATTGCACTGAATGGAGTTAAATTCTTAATGACATTATAGTCATTGTAACATCACTTTAATGTGGACACTCTCTGTTCAGCAGCCTTTAGTCAGATTATTGGCCATTTTTGGCGAATCTTAATTTTTAGACTAACCTATGGTAAACTTCTGTTGATTTTGCTAAGTAACATTATTTGGAGAAATTCTATGCTAATTATACTTGGTTTGATTTGCGGCATTAAAAATGTGATTTAAAATTAAATTTTTTAGGGAGGGGGGNCACTATGGACTTTTACTTTTGCATTTGGTTCTTACCAGTAGCAAACGAGGGGGGGCCCAATTAAATCTAGCAAAAGAATAGTCTTAAATTTATAAATGGTGCCTTGATTGATTGATCAGCTGCATCCTCTCCGCTGACTCGCGGACAAGCTGTAATTATTCTCAACCCGCTGGTCATCTCTCCTGTGTGGTTTGTCCCCGGGCAACTATAAATCTACCTTCCTCCACCTACTGAGCTTGACATCCTTAGTCTGGGATTGATCAATTAAAGGTGAGGAGCAAAGCTCACAGACTTTGAGCGTTTGAATTCGGTCTAATGAATTTTATTTAGACCTCCTACAACCTTGGCTAGGTTGTTTCATTGTTCTCCGGTATCCCCGATAGAATGACTGTAGACTTCCGGCACCTCGGATGGAATGATCTACTCTGTATCCCTGATCTAGGCTCCTTTAGATCAAATACAGGTACTAATCTCAATTACACTTCTTGTGATCTCTGTAAGAAAGTTAAAACTTGAGAAGGATTTTTGAAGACACAGAAAAATCTCAACTCGATTCTATTAAGCTAGTGTTTAGTTTTTGTACCCGAGACTGTGCTGCATTTTTGAACTCTATAGGCTACAAACCTCCGGACAAATCAAAATGTAAGTGAATTTTTCTATATGTATAATTAAAATGTTTATAATAACCTGGAGAAAGTTTTAATTTAAAGGCTAAATTTCTGTTTTATTATAAAATTAATTAACCATGGACTGATTTATTGTGTTTTCAGTTTACGGTTGAATCTTGTACCTACTACCTACCCTGAAATATATACATAAGATTTAATCAGTGCAAATTGAGCCGAAGAGATAGAGTTCATGCTTGCTCTTATGTTTGAAGTTATTACCTGGTTCCTAAAGGTAAAATTTGAGCACAGTCTTAACCTTAACTTTATAGGTTTCATATTTTAAAGTCATAATTCTTGACTAACCTTGGCTTAGTTAAAAGAAATACATCCTTTTTTCTATATACTTCAATCTTTTGCACTGTAAAGCCATACAGCCTGTAAAAATGTTTTAAGCTAGGCCTAAGCGCCATTTCTTTCGACCAATAGCAGACCAAAATTTGACGTACAATTCTTTTTTAGCCAATACTAACATGAAACCATGTATAGTGAGGCTAAATTTTATATTTGCATAGTATTATATATATATGTTTTGCACAAACCTGCAACCCTTTGTGATTCAGTATAAATACCATGTATGAATTATGTATTGCCACTCAATTCTCCACCATTGTGAAAACTACGCTGACAGTTAAAAGTAAGTTTTTTTCATAATTCTTTATTTATAGAGTCTGTAGACAATAAGTTTCTGGCTTTGAGTGTGTATTAAAAAGAATGTTAAATTATTGTAAATCAAATCTCTAGAAACAATTCCTGAAGATTTTAGAGTAAAAAAATAGGAGTTTACTTTTAATAATACTCTTCGCATTGTCTTAACATTGCGTAGCTATAATCAGAAAATCTTGTGCAATAGGTTGAATATATGCATAGGCACGAATAAATACTCTTAACATTTTTACTTAAACATTCAGATTTTCATCACTCTAAAAGTTAGAAACTTTTTGATTATATAAAATATATTAAAGCTTCATTTCTAGACAAAAATCAATTAATGAACTTTATAGCTAGATGTGTCAATCCTCTTTACAGAATAATTGTAGGGCAGATCAGTAATAGTAACCTTCAACAGTGGGTGATGCAGAAAACAAGCTTAAACCAGACTTAAACCTTGTTTTTTCAGTCTAAATTAGCCAGATCTAGTTTAAGCTGTTTTGTTTGCCACTTATCTAGACTGAATGCAACTTAAAATAGCTTTTTTGTTTAATAAAATTTCATAAAAAATGCATATAACAAAAATGTATGGATATGCATAGATATGCAAAAATGCAAGTCAATTATTTACATTTTTGAATAGGTAACTGCAGATCTAATGTTGGAATTTGATAACATAAATAATCCAGATTTAATACAGGTTTACAGGTTGACACTTACTGTCCCTAAAGATACTATTAACTATTAACTATTACTATTAACTATGTGTGAAGAGGTAGATGTGGGTTTAAATTTATGAAGGTATCCTTTCAAATATAACAATACATTGCCCCTGTTTACGAATTTCCTGTAAGAACAGCATTTAAAGGTTAAACCCATGGATTTGCACTGTTTTAAACAGATAATCAAAGGAAAGCCAGCAGTTTACCCCTGATGACTACATCATTTACCAAGGTAGATGAACAACCAAGTCAGTAAGTATGCTTATGCCAGGTCCAGGAGTAGTCACCATTTTATTTCGTTCTATGTGTTTGACTAAATATGTTTCTCTCCGGTTGCCTTGGATCCCTAGCCTTTCCGGCATGCAGTCTACATTTTGTAAACTAAGAGAGACCAAGAGAGCACTGCTTACTATGCTGGGTTGAAATAGAATGAAAAAGACTTTATAATAATTAATGCTCTGACCTACGAGTCTGAACCTAGTTGAATCTGGGAGACAGATTTGATCTTGCTAGAGGGATACGAGAATCAATTGGAAACCGGTCTTGTGCCATCTGACTCGCCTATGCTGGCAGACTACGCCACCCCTTGAAAGTGGCATTCAGCATCCTTTCCGGCAGCTGAATGCCACTGCCACTTTACTCGCGTAAATTAGAAACAATTACAGCTCACAAAAGAGTGGACAGAATGAATTCCTTTACTATATTATTTCTTAGTCCCGACCCTATTAGAAGATTTTAAAGGAGTTAGGGCGAGGTCGAATAGGGGCGGGCATATCCAGAGAGGAATTGGAAGAAGGGAGGCATGTGTATAGAGAGAATCTAGGGAAGAGGGGGGAGTGACATGTGTATTCAGAGTAGGGAAGAAGGGTGGGGGCATGTGTACAGAGAGAAGAGGGGCATGTATTATTAGATATTAGTAGAAAGGGGGAGATGGGGGTGGGCTTGAAATTTAGTGAGGAAAGGGGTCTAGAAAGGATTAATAAATTGAAACATTCAATATTTACAATATAAAAAATAATGAGAAATAACATTCAAATAACAAGTCATGGTATTTCTAAATCAAAAATAATTCAATTCAACAATTTAAACTAATCAGTTATTTGACAAGTGTCAATAATAAGTTTACTAGATTTTTTTACATATATAAGTCATTACAGAATCCAGACAAGCAAGAGATTTCTTCAATCATTACAGCTAGCTTTGAAGTTAGCTAAGATTCCATTCCATATCGGAGGTCTTCAAATACTCAAGAATGGATCCAGCTCTGGGTTTGTCATAGCTCAACAATCTAAATTTGATCCAAGCTCCAATCATGGCGGGATCAAATTGGTAATATGATATCCACACCATGACGTTGTCTGGTAGGGAGGCCACCTCTTTAACACTAATCTGCAGGGCCTTGGCCATGGCTCGGTTTATGGCATCACTGTCATCATCCTCGAGCTGGTGATATGGAAACGCCTCAACACGGAAACGGATCAAAAATACGCGGAAACCCCTCAAAAACCGGTTTTTTTGAGGCATATCCGCGATTTCTTCAAATTTTATTTTAAAGTTTTTGAAAAAAGCGGAAACGGATCAAAAATATGAGGAAATTGATCAAAAAAAAAGAGGAAACCATTCAACTCTAAATATTGGGAAACGGATACAAAATATTCAGAAATCCCTCAACAATTCTGAACTTTGAGGGATTTCCTTGAATTTCTAAAAAAAACGGAAATGCCTTAAAAATAATTTTTGATCCGTTTCCGTGTTGAGTCGTTTCCGTGTTAAGGCGTTTCCATGTCACCCCTCGAGCTGAACTCCTGAGTCCATGGCACCTGTGGCCATCACACACATGGCCGCTAATCGCACATCATTTCTAGACATGCTGTTAGAAACAAAGCAGGAGTTACACACCCTCGCGTTCCCTAACATCACCCCCATTGTGTGTAAGTAATCATGCAATGCAGTATGGTTGCTAATTTATAAGTCACTCTAGGTGACCAGCTTCATTGATTTACAATACGGGAATGAACTTCCTGGGCTTCCGATAGCAGCTTTAATTCCATGCATTTTAAGGATTGAGTCAGCTACTGCTGGGTTCTGAAGCCACTTAATGGGCCTGGAATAGCTCCGAGATATAACAGTAATCGTGGTACCCGCCCATGTCTTTCCACTGACCCAAGTAATAATTTTGCGGAACATCCGTGGAAATTCCCAGGAAATTCCGAGTAAACTCACGTAACTATATCCAAGGAATTTCTTGTAACCAATTCTAGGGAATTTCTTGTTGCCAATTTTTAGTAAAACCAGAGAAAATTTGTAGCGAAAAGGTCTTCAGAACCAATTTCTGGGAATTTCCTGGGAACTATTCCCAAGATTTTCTCAAGAGTTCCCCAGGAATATCTTGAAATATTTTCTAACAAAAGTAGTGAATAACAACTATAATGCCCCTCCAACTTTTTAGAAGTATAACCATCTTCTTAAGTCAGAATAGTTGTTTTTGATCTTATTGAAGTTGTCAGGTATTTTGTTTATTCAGAATTGTCAAGAAAAAATAAAAAAAATGTTTTAAAATTTTTAAATATTTTTTTAAAAGATGGTTCTGAAGTAAATTATCATTTTTGATCAATAAGGATGCAAAGAAAAAAGATTTAGTTTGAGCAGTCAATGAAAGAAGAGAACCTCAGAGACACCTATTGGTGAAAAACGGAACTTGAAAATTCTGTGATGAAGTCCTGAGAATTTCTCAGGAATTTCCGGAGAAATATTCCTGAGAAATTCTTAGGAATTTCTTGAGAAAAATTCCTGAGAAATTCTCAGGAATTTCTCGAAACTTATTCTCTTATCTAATTCCCCTTAAAATCGGTAAATTTGGTGACCAAGTTCTAAGAATTTCTCAGGAATTTCCGGAGAATTTTTTAGGAATTTCTTGGTGTGAAATTCCGAAGAAATTCCCATTTTATTAAATTAAAATAAATTAAAATTTTTATTAAAATTAAAATTAAAATTAAATTGAGAAATTCCTCGGAAATTCCTTAAAGAAAGTCACCACGGTTGGAGAATCTGGGGAAATTCCTCACTTTTGTTACTTGGGGAGTGGTTACAGTCCCGAACCGCAGTGCTTGATCATCTGTTTCACTCAGGAATAATTACCAGTCATTAGCGGCTAGCAGATCCTCATACTTTGATACATCCATCCCCCCCATCCAAGCTATGATATTCCAGTTTGATTTCTATGGGTATCATTGTCTGATAGAGTATAGAATACAGGTCATCCTGGAGTAGACATTTGTATAGTCTAATGTTGTCTGTGTCCCAATGACCACCCAGCTGGAAAACTTCTTTCAATCGGAATTCCGAATTCAGACTTGAGGAATTCTGACATAGGAATGAGATCGCTCCGATTTTCCATTCCGATCTGTTCCGATTGTACATTAAGCAGAGATCGATAGCGTAAACAGGGCAGATGAACCGATCGGTTCAACCAATCGGAAGCGATCGGAAGACTGGCATCGGTAGGAAATGTTCAATCTCATGCCTGTTATAGTTTAAAAACCTCCACTGACGAAACTGTAACTCTCTTCAAAAAGATCAAATCGGTGTTAAAAAAAGACAATTTTTCCTTGCCATTTTTTTTTAAAACCACCAGCATCAGATGAAATAGGGTTTAAAAAAGATTGAAATGGTGTATAAAAAGAAACTTTCTCTAAACGGTATTTTTAAAACCACCACTAACATATTTTTAAAATTTTAAATCG